GAGTCCCAAGCAAAGCACCGAGCTCCAGGGGTGTCCACCAAGGACTGGGAGGGAGGGGGGAGCGAGGCAAAGGGGAACACAGCTAAACCGGCTCGCACAACCACTACCTGTGCGACACCACGCAAGGCGCTTCTCCGCGACTGATCATGTCTTCCCTGGCCTGAAGAGGACGGTCACGCCGGACGATAATACCAACTGTGGTAGAGGCACCTGGGTCTTATTTTACAACACAGCGGCCTTCTGAGGGCGGATCCTCTCAAATGAAGGTTCCCTCGGATCGCTACGGTCCTTGATGGGTTTGCATGTACGTGTGAAACAAGCATCTGGAAACAGCGGGGTGGCTCTACACTGTTAGCCTTAAAATTAAAACAGCCAGGTAGTATACCAGCAAAAGATGGATTTACCAGGGAAGAGCAAAGACTCGCGAACCAGAAGACGCCAACTACCCGGACAAAGCACAGGGGCCGGCTTTTATAGCGGAAAGCGGAAGTGGGAAGGCCGTTACAAACAAGTCCATTGGAGTAAACTGGCGGTGGCAAGTATCGAGGCCTCTCATTGGCTGATCTGTGCGGGTCTCCCATTGGCTGGACTGTCGCGGGTGGGAGAGGAGGGTAAGTAAGCCTTTATTCCCCCATGAGGGTATCCCGATGCCAAGTAGCATCCCTGTGCAGGGTCTTCTCATCCTCTAGAGTTTGCAGCTGACGAGGAGTGGCTCGTGGGTGGGGAGCGCAACACCTGTCCAGACCTCCTGACCCCCTATTTTAGCGAGTTTCCCTTTATGAATTTTCGCCGCACGTCGGTGAGGGTGCTTGGCTGTCTGGCAGGCAGTGGTGAAGGGATGGAGGCCGAGGAGCCGCAGGGTTGGTGGGCGACTGGCGGCTGAGAACAGCACAAAGGCCAATTATTTTACAGTCTTTGGCGGTGGGTGACCTAGGCCTTTTAGAAACAGGGACAGGGATGGGGCGCCTGGGTGGCTCAGTCAGTGGGGCATCTGACTCTCGGTTTTGGCTCCGGTCATGATCCCGGGTTCTAGGATGGAGCCCAGAGTCAGGCTTTGTGCTTTGCAGGAAGCCCGCTGGAGATTCTCTCCCTCTGCCCCTCCCCTGGCTCACACACTTTCTCTCAAGGAAAATCTTTTAAAAAGAATAAAACAGGGAGATGTATGAATATCTGTGTTATGTATCGATATGTTGAGTAATCACACACACACACACACACACACAAGCTCTCTTGTTCACACTGTCAATGTACACCTCCTCCACCCACCTCCGTGAAGTTTTCTTCCTCTAGAAGGCTGCTTGGGGTTTCAATGGAGGAGTTCAGGAAGGGGTGGTGAATGCTCCAGGGTAGGAAGTGATTGGGTGACTGGAAGCCAGAACCTCCCAGAGATCGGAAGCCTCCCAGAAACCTTGGCCCTGGCTTTTGGGGACAGAGACAGGGACAGACGAGAAATGCACAAATGCGCGTCTCACCAACATTCCAGGACAGCTGAGGTCCGGGGTCCAGCCCGCACCGTGAGGCTTAGTGACAGGAGGCTGCGTGCATTCAGCCTCCTAGTCACATCCTGAGTGGCTGAGCCCTCAGGGCTGCTGGCCTCAGTCACTGCTCCTCCTGCCCAAACACCACAAGGGAGACAAGAATTGGCTCTTTTTTTGTCCAGTCTTTATTTACAGCAAAGTACATAGTATGTGGTCATTTTTGTAACTACTAACAATAAAGGCAGGGTGGTAGAAAGGAAGGAGGAAGAGCAAGCATCTGAAAGAAAGAAAAAAAAAGCCTACGTCTTTACTTAGCTTCTCACCCTGTTCCTGAGGCAGGACCAGCTAGGCACTCACCGCCTCTAAGAGCAGCAAGGAAGCTGATCTAACACCAGCCACCTGGCCTAAGGAGGGCAGCACGGGGCCCAGAGACAAAAGATGGAAGGGGACTGAGCTCCAGACAAACCCCAGTGCTTTTCTCAACATGTTCTCTGCCTTGTTGTACCAGACACCAAGCCCATTTCCCCCACTTCACCCTGAGACAGGGTGAAAGGGAGTGAGGGAAACCCAGCCGGTCCTCTCTGGCAACAGAGCCCTGCAATGCAGAACCTTCCCTAGCCAGCCTAACCAACGCGGGTCCTTGGTGCTGGAATCCTTGACAGGCAGGTACGAGACTCCAGGAGCCCTGCCAGAGGCCACTGCCTCCCTCCGCTGGCCTCAGGTGCTAGCACAGGTCAAGGCTGCTAATCAAGGGAGCAGAACAAGGACAGCAAAGGAGGGGATACAGAAACCGACTGGGCTCCAGTCCCTCCTGCTTTCCAACTGCGCCGAGGAGCACGAGAGCCTTCACAGCCTGACCTAGTGGCCTCATGAGAGACTGGCCCTCTGCCCCAGGCACAGAGACAAGTGTCCAGTGCTGAGCCCAGGCGAGGCAGGACGGCGGCATCCACATGACCACGGCAGCCAAGACCAGAGCGGGTTGTTGGAATGATGGGCTCTGAAGGAGGAACTGGAGACCTTCCCCTGCCACCCTCCCCTGGCCTGTCCTTCGGGCACCCCCTTGTCTAACCACTGCCTCTTCAAGCGCCTACCCTATCCACCCCAAACCAAAGTTCCAGACACTCGTGAGCTCCTCCTACAGCACCCAATCTCTCTGCCCCTACTGGCCTCAGGCTGCCCAAGAAAAAGAAACCTGGGTCAGCACAAGTTCCATTAGCATGAAGGAGTGTGAGGTCAGGCCTTCCCATGACACAAAGTGTGGATACTTGTTCCCTAGACACTTGGTCTATGGGTAACACCTGGGCAGGGGTGGGGCAGCAGCAAGCACCACTGGGCAGCTCGGAAGCCAGGGGACTCCCATGCACACATGACCGACATCACCCCACCCTGCTTGCCGGTACCTCCCCGCTGGACCACAGAGAGGACCCAGCAGCCTCGGGTCATGGTTTCTGGCCCAACGATCCTACCGCTGACTCTCCAGTGGAATCAGAGACCTAATGACTCAAAATACCGAGTCCAGGATTTGTCACAGAAAGCTCAAGTTCAGAGAGTTGGCTAAATACTGAGGGGGCCGCACAGGGACGGAGCTTCTCATCCCTTCCTTGCCCCAGACAGTGTGTCACAGAACCAAGGGAGTTGTCAGCGTTGCCCAGTGGGCACAGCCCAGTGCCCCAAGCCAAGCCACCAAGAACTGGGGATGGTTTTTACCAGGAGGCAAGGCAGCCCTAGAGCAGTTTCCCAGCAACTGGGCTACTGAGAGACACTGGAGGCTTGGTCCCAACACCACAGGTAGATGAGGAAGCAGGTGAGGACATCAAGGCTCAGAGATGAGAAGACTCCATCTTCCGGGGCAGTAGGACAGACAGCCAAGGCACTAAATGGTTTGGCACCTGGGAGCTTCAAGTAAAGTTGAATGTGCTACCCACTGAAAGGCCAAGGCTCCCCCAGACAGGGGTGGGCTGCCCCTGAGCACAGAGAGGCCCCATCCAGGCCAAGAGGCCTTGGGTCCTCAGGATCCTAACCCAGGCCTGCCACCCACCCTTCATCTGAGAACCGTGCAAGGCATGACGAGAGAGAGAATATGGATGCTGCGGCATTCCAGAACGCACTCATCCCGAGGAGCACCAGCCTCAGACGCAGGCCCCTCGGGAGCCTTACCTCGCTCCCACCCTCGGGAGCTCCCCCCCAAGCCCGCAGCTATCTCCTGAGTGTCTCAGGGGCGGCAAAGCTCTGCTGGGGAGGAGGTCGGACTTTTTCAAACAGCCGCACAGGGTGAGAGTCACATCGAGTCCAGAAAGGGGGAATCAAAGCTGGACGGCAATGAGTCTGAGGGACAATTCGGTGTGACTAGAGAGACACGGTGTCAGATGTACCTGAATGGCTCCAGCGGGCTGGGAAAGCAATGGGGGGATAAGTTCCCCCCAAACACTTCAGGTGGTGTGGAAAGGCTGCGGGCATGGCCTGCAGAGCACGGAGATGGTCAACGGGGAAGCGAAGGGCTCCTGCTCGTCTGCGGTTAACTGCAGAGGCTTCAGGACCCTCGCGTCACCCCTCCTGGGTCTCACTTGGTCCCCCACTTCCTCCACCAAGAATCTTCAGGGATCTGTGCTCCTCCCAAAGAGGGAGCCCTCAGGAGAGGTGGGGCTCTCCCTGGAACCTGGCCATCTGCCTGGCTGGCACACTGCTGGCAAGCATTGCCACTGAGAGGTGCGTGCTGTCCTCACCCCACTGCCAGGCCCTGCTTCTCGGTGAGCAGGAACGACCATTCACTCCCCCTGCCACCCTGCGAAGGGCTGTCGGCTGTCCTTCCGCCAGCAGAAGTCCTCAACCAAAGCCCAGACTCAAGGGGCCACCGTGCGAGCTACCCTCTGGCACAAGGCCCAAGGAATCTGATCGCAGACTTCCCCCAGTGTTTCCTCGGACACAACACCAGATCCCGTTCGACTCTCTCCTTCCCCTCCTTTGCAGAAGAGAGCCCGTCACAGGCCTGTCGGGGAAGGAGAGAGGGGCAGCTCTGGCTTGTGGAGAGACTGAGAAGCAGGTGGGTCACGAAGGAGTGGCTGAGCTACCCAAGCAGCTGCGAGGGGGAGAGGGGGGCACTGGGCAAGAAGAAAACACAGATTTGTTCTCCTTAGTGGGCCTCTTCCCTGAGTTTGATTTTTGAGCTGAGGTCTTGCCTAATTACAATTCAAAAAAAAAGAAAGAAAGAAAGAAAGAAAAAGAAGAAGAAAAGAAAGGAGTATCTCTTGTGAACACGTGATTAAGCTCCGGCTCAAAGGCGGCGGCCCCTGGCAGGGGAGGGGCGAGCCAAGGCTCCCAGCTCCACTGTCCTCGAGCTGCACAGGCACGAGAGCCATGAGCCGGGGCACCCCCTTCTCCACCGTCCGCCTCCCGCACCCATGCCTGAGCCTGCCCCCCGCGGAACACAGCGGCCACGGCCCCTCGGTGAGACTCCAGCTCTAGCCCCGGACACTCAAGTACAGGCCCTCCTGCACAATACTTACAGCAAACAGCTTTACAGTATTTGTACATTTACACAAAAATAGATCCTTTTATATATATATATATGTATTTATAACTGGTTACACGTTGGATTCATAATTAGGCATCACCAGTAGTAGTTGGCACAGTTTGTCATTTAAGCTCAGGGTCAAATTCGGTTTCGTTTCGCCGCTCCAAAGCACAAAAAAAAAAAAAAAAAAAAAAAAAAAGGCATGTCATCTCCATGGTGTGTTCTTAAATACAGCAATGTCCTAGGAAAGCACATGTACGAATGAACAGTGCCTTCTGATCCCTCCTCCTGTCTCTTGAAGAGAGGGGCCGGGCTGGAAGGAGACAGGGGTCAGTGGGGCCGGCTGCTGGACTCCGACGGCTGCCTCTTCCGTGAAGGGATGTAGCCATTCAGATAGCCATTGGTCTGCCGTTTGGAGAGCCCTCCGTTCAGGATGTCCTGAATGTGTTGCACAATGAGGTTGATGGCCACTGTGGGGCAGAGAGCGGCTGTGTTAGGGACAGTGCAGGGAGGAGACAAGCCTTCCACCAGGGAACCCACCAGCACCCCCATTCCAAGTAGAATAATCCCTGCAGAAGGCTCAGAAAGGTTAACATGGGGACTCTCTGTTCTTAGCATTAGAAATAAACAGTTCATCTCAAGCAAGTGACTGATGTTGACATCACCATCACCAGACGTGGAATGAAGACCGAGTGCTTTCTGAGATGCTGCACAAAGAACCCGTGCAACACAACGTCTCTCCTACGGTGTTCTCCCTGGGTTGTGTAAACTGAATCCAATCATGAGGAAACAAAGATGAACCCAAACTGAGGGCCATTCTACAAAACGACGGGCCTGCATGCCTCAAGTCTGTCAAAGGAAATTGTATCAGTCTTTACTTCTCTGGATGGAATGGCTGTTCTGTGGCCAGGAATGAAAATGCCCTTCTCTTTAAGAAATACACAGTGAGGGGCGCCTGGGTGGCTCAGTCGGTTGGGCATCCGACTCCTGGTTTCAGCTCAGGTCATGATCCCAGGGTCCTGAGACTGAGCCCCTCATCGGGCTCCACACTCAGTGGGGAGCCTGCCTGCAATTCTCTCCATCTCCCTCTGCCTCTCCCCCTTTTCTCTCTAAAATAAACTAAATCTTAAAAAAAAAAAAAAAAAAAAAAAACTAAGAAATACACAGTGAAATATTCATTGCTAAGACAGACTCCCAAATGACTCAGCAAAAAAAAATTAACTGTTTAAATGGAAGAAAGTTGAAATTAATTAATAAAAGAGAATGAGAAGGTAGGGACTTCTCACAGATCATGCCCCAGTCTGCCTCAGCTCAGAGGTACCCCTACTTCTCAGACAAGCCGAAACCAACAAATAAATAAATGCAACCAGCTCCCTTTCAGAAGGGCTACCTTGATGGCAGGTCATTCTAAATTAAATTAAGAAGAAAGCGTGCTTTTGCTAAAAGATGGCCTTGGATGCAAGGCCTCTCTAAGTGTCATCGCTGGGAGTGACAGCAAAGGCCAGTCTCCAGTCCTCTGGTTTCTGTTAGAGAAGCATGAGTTCCTGTTTGTGACCATGGCCATACACACATGTACACAAGGGCCTGTTCCCAAGGCCAACTACGTAAGCAGAAATTCCTTTCTGGCTCCCAGGAACAGAACAGTGGTTCAGCCACGTCCATGGAACCTTGCTTGGTCACCACATCCTGCCTCAAAGTATGACGGACATAATAGGGTAGAAGTCATGCCTCCACCGGATGACTCCCCACCAGGACTCACCTAGATTATCTGCACCTCTAGGAATGATCACATCAGCGTATTTCTTTGTCTGTGGAGAAAGAAATTCACAACGCATTAAAGAAGAAACAAACTGGTCCACGCCCCTGTTGAGGGGCCATGAGAAAAGGGTCAGTCTTCCTACCACTGATCCTGGAGGGTGGCAGTTTGAAGCTGCCAACACAGTATTTTTTTAGCTCCTTTATCTAAATTACAATAAATCATCTCTCTTGATCTTTCATTATTAATGGTTTAATACTATTTAAGCTTAGGACCTGCACTGAGAATGTGGTCTTTGAAACCAAACTCGTAACTGCCTCCTCCCTACTAAGAAAAGTATGAATTAGAAAAACCCAAATTGAAAAGGGAAGTGGTTCGCCTTGGATTTCTACACACAGTCTGAAAGGGGACACCACTGATCCTAACACAAGGGTAAATCCAAGAAAAATAATCCCCCTGATGACCATTTGCATGGTCATTTTGCTACCACACTTAAAAAAAAAAAAAAAGTAAAGCCACAGTTAGATACATTCCCTTTTCTGTTTTCTTATTTCACTGGGATTTTGTGGAACACTTTACAAGTAACTGTGTTCTGGTGTGTGACCCAGCTTACGTCTAGCGCAAGACCACCTCCACCTAACGATGCCTTCAGCACATGGGCATCTTGTGTACTAAAACCATTCAAATGCAACTGTGTCAGGCCCAAACCCAATCTGAACTAGGCAGACAATTTATCAGATCTGAGCTCCTGGCTTACACAGGAATGACCTGATCTTCCCTGATCACAGAGCGGCTGGACAGTGGGAACAAGCAGAAACCACCCAGAAAAATGTGCAGAACTTTAAGCTCCGTTATAACTAAGTGAAACAGCAGATAGTGGCAGTTAGCTCTAGTTCATGTCCGGTAAGTTTACCTTGCGCTATTATTAAGGTAAAAAGAGGAGGAGCCGTCCTCAGATAGATAGACCGATGGATCGAATTTCCTGGCTTCTCCACTCCCTCTGCCCTCTGTCTGGAAACCTAATCCTGTGACCCAATCCTCTCCAGGGGAATGAACGGGCCACCAGCGTTACTCAGACTGACTCAGAAAAGTCCACCTGTCCCCAATCTGAAACAACAGAAGTCTAGCCTGGTTTGGCACAAAACCTACTAACAGACTTGAAGGAACAGACAGTCGGAGATCATACTTTTCCAGGAGAAAGAAAGAAGTTCATTACTCAGAGAAACAAATTCCCACACTCGGCCTCACTCTACACCTCTTCTCCATGCCCGCAGCTTCCAGTCTCCCAGAAGAGATCAACTAAGATCAGGCTAAGTCCCAATGTCTCCCCACTCTCACTCAGAGTTCATTATAAATCGTTAGGCAGTTAGACCATGGTGAGGTCAACCTGGTGAGGACACACGACACCGATGCAGGCATCTCCTGAGTTAAACACTTCTTCTCAAATGACATCATCTCCTACCTCTTCCTCTACCACTACCCTTGCCCCCCACCCAACCACTACAACCACTGCACCTCTTGTCCCTGGTGGGCCTCCCGCAGCACTCACCTCTCTGTCCCCTGAAGCCAAGAGTGTTTCCTGTGCTGAGGGCCAACTCACTAAACACTGAAAATTCCCCATATCCCCAACCTCCCTTCTCTGAAAGCACCTCCCAGAGAGTTCCCAGCTGCCACAGGAGGAATGATGAACCTGGGCCATGGCAGAAGTAAGGAAGCTTATTCCAACATGGCAGGACACTTCCCATTGGGGAACGTATCCAGGGGCCAAAGACAAGCTCAAAGGGGCAGGGTGGGGGGAGGGCAGAAGAGATTCGGAAGGAAATACCCTACTGCTGAGCCCTCCCTACACCAATGCTACAACCATCACAGACCTTTGAAGATCCCAGTGGCCTAGTCTATGCTTAGGTATGGCGCACCCTCACACCATGAGCCCACCAAGCAAGGAGTGCAGAGTTTGCCGGAGTCAGACAGCGGGACCCTGAAGGACCATTCTGACAAAGATGGCGGCCGACAGCTCCCAGAGAGCACAACGCCTCAAAGGCTGCCCTTTCTTGGGACTGGAGGACAGAGGATCATTCAGAGAGAAATGAAATTCAGGCCCGGGGGCTCCATCGGCTTACATACCTGTATGTGTGAGATTTAGTTTTAAATGCTAAATTCAACAAAAAACAAACCAAGAACACAACTCACTGGCAAGCAGAATTCCTCAAAGGCAGGCTTGACGAACGTAATGTACTGAGATAAAATCTGCTCAAGGTCCCTCCCTCTTTCGCTGATGTCCCTTAATACTATAAGAAAAGGAAAAACAAGAATCAAGAAAATGGTGCATGAGCCAACACATGTCCGCCCTTCCTGAGGCAGACCAGGCTCACTCAGGCTCTGCGATTACTCTGGATGATTCACAAGCCGGATTCCTGAGAGACTTGACCAAGAGCGGGTCAGCAGCAGCTTCAAGAAAAACAAGTTACATTTTTATTGCTATAGTCAAATTGGGCAATGACATAAGGATCTTCTGAAGCAAAAGGCTGTCCAGCCTCAGCCAACAGTCTTCTGGTTTCAAGCAGCATTTGACCCAAATAAAATTTCAGTGTGAACAACATAAAAAAGCAGGACGGTCCTGCAGGGCTCGTAACAGGGAGCAGACGGGGCCCAGAGAGGAGGTGGGGCTCCTGGACGGCGTCCCCTTGCAGTGACTTACCTGCGTGCGGCCCGCGGACCTACTGCTGATGTGCCGCCTTATCACACCTGCACCCCCCAATATTCCAGCCCCTACAGGGGCAGAAGCCGGGCAGAGGGTCCCACTGTGGCCAGCCACTCCTGCCGACCTCAAGCACGGGGGCTTGCAAATAAAAAACACCTTGTTTGAGGGGACAACATCCTGGTTTTGGAAACAGTGGGCTGCACTCCCCATCTTCGACGTTCTCCCCCTGGGGTGGTGTCATTCAAGGGCTTTCAACCCAACACCTTTATTATTTTAACAGTCTTTCGTCAAAAAACTCTAGGGACTAGGGACTAGGATCCTGGCTCAGCCACTCTACACCAACCTCCCTGAGCCTCAGCCTCCCTCCAAACTCGGCAGTGAGAACTTGGGAGGAGATTCTCTCCGTCAAAACAGCGCCTCCCTACAGGTGTTGTTGTAAATCTTAGCCCCACGGCTGCCCGATCTTCTACCCCAACCCCGAGAGGGTGCCCTGTCCATCAGCAACCATTCGTGAAGGCCCCTTGGCTCCTCTCGACCATTTCTCAGGTTACAGACTCAGCAGGGGATGAACCTCACTGCAAATGCACCAGGGCACACTTGCCAGTGAATTTCCCGACAGCCACGTCTCTAGATAATTCCGTGTGTCCGCACACGCACGCACACACGCACACAGGCAGGGGCAGGAAAGAGGGAGGCTGTCGTGGTTAGGATTCGGGCTGGTGTGGAATGTGTGAGATTAGATGGTGAGAAGACCACATTCCAGAGGGTCAGGTGACACGGCCAGACCTCCTGACTCTCCCAGCAGCGCCTGCATTTACAAGACATCTCCGCAGAAACCCTGGTCTCGGGGTAATCGGCACCTGCTGATGGGTCAGGGCTTGTCCCACGGCGCCTCGCGGCCCCGGGACCAGCAGAGACGCCTCCCCCCGCCAGGAAATGGGTGTTCCCAGGCATTCTGACGTGGGGCCAGGGAGCAGGGCCGCCACGTGGCTCGCCCCCACCAGCCTCCGGAGCCTGGCCCGCCGGCGACCGGGCTCCCCTCGGCCAAAACACACAGCCAGGGTGGCCTCCAATTTCTCCACGTTCCCAGATAATGTACAAGGGGAAAAGGAAGCCAGGGCAAAGGGTATCAGAGCTGGGGAAAAAACAAACACACGGCCACACTCGGAGAGCTTTTGCTTAAAAGCCGTGCAGAAGCCTGATGTGTGTGTTTCACAAGACACGCTCTGCCCATGAGCGTGGCTGGCGTGCATGGCGTGGGCCCTTTGTACCTCCCCCAGCACGCACACACGGGCCCGCGGACTCCCCGGGGGCTCTCCTGCTGCCCCCGGCCCCAGCCAGCGGCTCCCTTGTTACCTGCGCCCACGCCACTGCGTGGGGAAGGCGCAGGGCTGGGGACAAGCACGGGGAACAGGAGAGTCACCCAGAGGCTGCCCTAGGCCCTGAGCCCGCCACCCGGAGCGGGGCAGGCAGAACCGACCTGGGTTGGAATCCTGATCCCACTCTTACTTCTGTGACCTTAGAAAGGTTACCCAACCTCTGTGAATCTCATTTTCCTTAACTGTAAAACAGAGACATGATACACAGAGACTTTCTCATAAGGTCATTACTCCAGAATACAGGGGGATGGGCTTAAAGTCTTCAGCGCTGTGGCTGGTGCATGGGACGTATTCGATAAACCTGGATTTCTACCACCCATGAGGACGGTAACCGAATCTGGGAAGCTTCGGGACAGCTCCCTGACAGAGCGGGGACCCCGGGGAGGGCAGCATCTGTGAATTCAGAGGAACTCAGGTGAGCTCAGGTGAGCAGGCCAGACCCAGCCAAGAGCCGCGGTCCCGCGGAGCAGCTGGAAAGGTGGGAGTGGGGGGTTGCCGTGCGGGAGGGACGGCAGGGCACGGACGCACGGGAAGACACGGTGGAGAGGGAGAAACAGGGAAGACAGGGAGGAGCCACCCTACAGTTTCTACCCTGGGAAGGGAAACAGGAAACGGGGGAGAATGTTGCCCAGACACTGGGAACGTGCAAAACCAAGTGGCATCACCCACCTCTGCTCCCTGAGAGCCTTCCACTAAGTTACCACCTCCAACAGCCCGAGACCCCACGTCAAGCCAAGGACAACACAAGGCCAGCCAGTTCACAGCACCAAAGTGCCCGGCTCCTCAAGCAAAATCAGGAAACAGGGCCAAGCCAAGGACTGAGTCAGAACAAGGTCTTGGCACAAACCGGAAACTCCAGGGACTCAATACCGGCTCCCTGATCATCACTCTGTTCTGGCACACTTGCTTGGAAAGGAAAAGGCCCTTTCAGAAGAGGGGGAAAGGGCAGGAAACTACCCGTCTGCCCACCTTCCCGGCTTGGCTCTCACAGCCGCTCTTCCAAAGCCACCAGGGCTCCTCTGGTCAACCAAAGCCAAGAACGAAATTTAGAAGGACCCAGAATAAATACAATTCCTCAATGGTTCAGCCAATTCAATTTAAAAATTAGTCAAGGAAATGTGTTACTCTAGCAACAGACTAACCATCTCAAGGTCCACTGCAGCCCTGAAGCTGTGGGGACTGGACACAGAGAATTATAGCAGAAAAGAGAGTAGGTGTCAGCCCTCTTTGGTCCCCAGTCTCAGTTCTTACCTGTCCCCGAATTCAAGGGTGGGTTAGAGTAAATAACACACATGGCAGGAAGGTGAAAGGTGGAGAAGCCAATACCCCAAAGTATGAGGGGTTCCCGTGATGGGAGTGTTTCCAAAGCTGCACGGCTCAAAGGCAAAGCCCCCATTCCACACTCTGACCACAAGGGTCACGGGCCCGGTGACACGCAGAAGGGCAAAACCATGGCACTAACTCAAGTCTCCAGGAATGTTCTGAGGCCCAGCAGCTGCTCCTGACTAACCCACCCTCCCATCCCACAAAGCACATGCCAGGCATGTTTTCTGTCCTACAAGGATAGAGAATGAACTTGTTGAAGCAGCATGTGGAAAGGCCCCGCAAGTCCACCAGGAAAGTGACTCACCAGCAGGTGACACAAGAAGGCAGAGGTCTGAGAGGGAAAGCGACAGCCTCCCTGGGAGCATCAGGGATGTGACCGGAGAAACCCCACAGAAAGCCACCATCACCTCCTGTCTTGCCCTCGTCTTGCACAAGGATCTCAGTATAAGAGAGCAAGGGAGAATTCTCTGTGCCATCAGTGCCATGATGATCCGTTTGAATTAGAGGCCAAAATCGTCTGATTTTCAAGGATTCTGAATTCTGGATTTCTCAAATTTGGTTCTATTTGGCCACGGCTCGCATGCCCTTCTCCCTCAAGCATTTAACTACATGCCCTCCCACCCACCCACCCCCGCCCAGGACTTCAGTACCAGGTGCTGACCTGATGATGGGATCAGGCCGGCTTCCCCGTTCCTGAGGATGAGATGACCACTCAGAGGTTCTGACCAGTCCTGATGGAAAACTCGGGAAAACAGAACATCTACCATCTCAGACAAAGCAGACCCGACCTAACACACGGACGGTTATCAGCTAGCTAACGCACCACCAGGCATTTAACCTGCCTATGGCTCCTCCTCACAACCCAGGAGTACTGATCGATACCTCATCAACCAACGCGCGTATCCCTATTTATGAGGGACTAAGAGGTTACAACATAACCTGCCCGAGGTCAGACATCGACTAAATGGTGAAATCAGGATTTAAGTAGAATTCATCTGACTCCAATTCCACCCACCTGTCCACCCCTGCCCTGGGTGCATTAAGTTGCCTCCCAGATTTGACAGACTGACGGGGACATGGAGTAGATCAACCATGGCAGGACCCGGGTTTGGAGACTAAGGTGACAGATACACCAGGTCCTGGGGCGGGTGCAGGAGGGAATACCAGGCTTGGGCCTTGATGATCTATTAAAATACACCACGCAACTCTTTCCTGGCCCAAGTCATGACCCTCTAAACAGGCCTGTCTCCTTCCCCTTATCCATAAAGAAACCCAAGCCTGGGAGGTCACACGAGTCCCAAGCGCCACCGAAGTCACAAAGCTAGCTGGAGACTGTGGGACTAGAATACGGGCCTCCCACTCTCCTTTCTTCCATTGAGGAATTCTCCCCAACCCCCACGCCACCTCGGAGTGGAAGTGGAAGAACAACTCACTTAACAGAGCGTAGACATTATTCCTTGGGAGGACAAAATCCAAGGTCTCATTTCTCTATATTCTCCTGGTTCCATTTATAGTTCTTGCAAAGAGGACTTAAGTGGATAAAGCACAAATTTGTTTCATGAACTGAAAAGAGAACATGTTACAGGCTTTGAGGTCAGAAGGCTCTGGGCTGGAACTTATAAAATTCCAATCAGCCGGGGCGCCTGGGCAGCTCAGTCGGTGAAGCAGCTGCCTTCGGCTCAGGTCATCTCAGGGTCTTAGGATCGAGCCCCACCATTGGGCTCCCTGCTCAGCCGGGAAGCTGAGTCTCCCTCTGCCTGCCGCTCCCCCTGCTTGTACACACTCACTCTCTCTCTTTCCCTCACAAATAAATAAATAAATAAATCCCTTTTTTTTTTTAATTCCAATCTGCCCAAGATTTGCTCTGTGACTAGGAGTCACCCTTGTCATTCACAGGGTGTCATTCCTGTTCCATGTGAGGAAGACTGGAAGCCTTGCTCACTTTCCTCATCCCCACGGCCCCTACAGCGGGCTGTCATTTTCTGACTCTGCTGGTACCCTCTCACCCCTGCCACTTCCTACAGCAGCCCTACCTACCGTCTTCACTCCCATGCCCTCCAGCAGACTCATCTCCCAACAGAGAGCCAAGGCCCTTTCATTTGCCCTACTCAAAACCCCTTGGTAGCTCTCCCTCATGGACCAGGGACCAAACGGGAAGCCACAGACCCCATAATCTGCCTCGAGCGATTTCCAGCATCTCTCTAGACAGCCATCTAGGAACTCCAGCCACTTGCTTCCTGAAACAAGCCCTGTGTGCCTGTGTTTGCACCGTGTAATTTCTTGCGTTGTCTACGTCATCACCCTGCCACACCCCCCGTGAAGCCTCCTGATCCCGCAGGTGGAAGCAAGGGCTCCCCTCCATGTCCTGCTGGGCTGAATTACAGGCTCTGCTACCCACCAAAGGACAGCTGTCCCTCAGGACGCCAGGCACGGAGACCGCCACAGGCACACCCTCAGTAAGGCCTGCGGAGGGAATGACCCAGCAACTGCACCGCAGCTGGCGGGACAGAGGGACCAAACCTCCATAGAGCTTTCTGGAAAATAAAGACTACAGAAGCGGGCTGGTGGGACCAGCTGCCCAGCTCTGTGGGCACTAGGGATTCTTGCCCCCAGACATCCTAGTTTTAGTTCCTATCTTGATGACGATGCCTGTGGGAAAACCACACAGAACTGGGCATTTAATCCAACTTTTTCTCCCGCAAAACCACAACATAAACTTCTGACTTCATCTCCGTGACCTCACAAGCCTTTCGTTATGCAATACAGTGACTAACCCCTTCTCAGATGCCACCAGGTGTTTGAGTAGCAGGACATCCTGGGGCTGAACTGGCTTAGCTGGACTGGGCCGCTGGAGGCCTTCAGAACCCACCTCTGCGGGAGAGCCGGGTGTCCGCATCTGTGTCCACGAAAAGCTTCATCTGGAACAGGTCTCGCACCTCCTGGGAGTAGAAGGCCAGGATCCCTTCAAAGAGCACCACATCCGCGGGGTAGACGGTGACCGTCTCCTCCTTCCTGCAAAGCACAGAGCAGATGATGGGCCGAACCAGGCGGGGTGAGCAAAGGGTGGAGGACAGCAGCATTTGTCTGGGGGTCTGGGGCCCCCTCCTGCTGACCTACAGCAGGAACGAAAGGGGGAAGCTACCACCGCCACTGATGGCCAACCAAAGGGCCATCACAACTGGGGCAAATGTCTCCTCTGAGCTCTCACCATAAAGCAGAAATAGAAGGCAGTCATCCCTCTCCTTGGGATTTAAAACAAAACAAAACCCATGCTGCCAAACGCACAACAGAGAAAGACAGAAGCAGATGTGATTCCTTCTTTCTTCTGGAGGCGTCTCCAGGAATGCTCTCGGGCCTGGCATTTATGGAAGCTAACGCTGAACTTTCACAAACAGAAACTCAGTCTTCTCCCAACGGCCCCAACCCCTCCCCCATTCGGAGGCAACTGAAGGAGGCAGGAAGGGTCGGGAGAGGACGAGGCAGAAAAAGGAAGTTGCAGAGCAGAGGAAGTGCCTACAGGGAGGCAAAGATTCCCAAGCTCCATCTGGTCCAGCTCCGCAAGAAAGCAGCGGTGTGTCTGTGGTCCTCCCTGAAAGCAAGGGAGGCAGGGGTACGCATGACCTCTCCACCTACCCCACAGGGTCACCACCCGCTTCCATCCTAACCATCATCTTAACCTAATCTCTTGCCCCAAAGTCACGAAAAGCAAGGTAACGGTTCCCACTACAAGGTTTACTACTCACGCGCACATTGAGGAATAAAACCATGTAAAATAAAACAATTTTTTAATTTTTTAACCATTTTTTAAACCCTTAAGACAATGGGTTTATCTGTGCAAACACAGGAAAGTCGGCAGCTGCCCAGGCGAGAGGATGCACGGAGCTTCCTTCCCATAAACACTCTCTGATTCCTTATTTGCTCAGACCCAGGGGTTCCTGGGCAAATTTTAAGGCAGGCAACTGTTGGGAGCCACTACCCAAGGGCCAGAACAGGAGGTAGAAAAGGCAACCAAAGAGGACCGGGTAAGATTAGGAGACTCTCTAGAGCAGTGATGTAATTCTGGATGCACACAGAACCATCTGGGGAGCTTTAAAAAAAATATGCATGCCTGGCGGCATCTGGGAGGCTTAGTCCGTTAAGAGACCGACTCTTGATTTCTCCTGGTTTCAGCTCAGGTCATGATCTCAGGGTCTTGAGACTGAGCCTCTGTGCTGAGCATGGAGTCTGCCAGATTCTCTCTCCCTGTCCCTCGACACCACTCCCCCACCGCACTTGTGCACACACCCATGTGTGCTCTCTCTAAAATAAATAAAATCTTAAAAAAAAAAAAAATGCCTGGGATGCCTGGGTGGCTCAGTGGGTTGACCATCTATCCTCGGCCCAGGTCATGATCCCAGGGTGCTGGGATCGGACCCAGCAACAGGCTCCCTGCTCAGCGGGAAGCCTGCTTCTCCCTCTCCCTCTGCCTACTACTCCCTCTGCCTGTGCTCGCTCTCTGACAAATACATAAATAAGTTAAAATCTTTAGAAGGAAAAAAATGTATGCCTGGGCCCCATCCCTCAGGGCTCTGATTCCATTCATCTGGGGTAGAGCCAGAGTGCTGGTATTTTATAAAACCACTCCAGGTGTTTCTAACGTGCGGCCAGGGGTGAGGACCACCAGTCTGGAGGAGTGTCAGCTACCAGAAAACAGGGAGCCCCCGGTGGTTTAGGATAACGAACTAACTGGACAGAGCTCAGAAGGAAAACGGGAGCTGCTCTGGGCAAGTGCCTTGCACGAAGGAGGGTGGGACGTCTCTGCTGGGAAACGGAAATGTTCCCGTTTGCGTGGGGAAGGAGGACTCCCAGGGCTCTGTCTGGAAAACACACACCCCGAGAGCACCGTGACCGTGCTAGGTGTACATGCGCTGATACCAGATCCAGCGCGATCAGGACGCCTCGCTGATAAGCATGAACAAGGAACAGGTGGTTTTCCAACTCAACAAACACGCCTCTCTGATCCTGGGAAAGCAAGGAAAACATCGCTGTCCATGCTGTTGCTGGTGCCCAAAGAAGCTGGAATCGATCCTGTCCCACGTGTGCACGTACATCCAGGGAGGAGAACCCTTCCAACAGCCCACAGCTAAGAACAACATCTACTGGGCAACTACCAGCCCAGAACAAGTGAGGAGACTTGCCTGGTGCAATATTCTGGGGAGAAGTTCGGAGTCTGGCTGCGAAGTCCACACACGATACCAAGACGATCAGAGCATCTGAGAGAACCTAAATCCAAGCTTCTCGTATGGCTTATGAGGAGAGGCAAAGCCAGAGAAGGGTATTTACAGCAAACAAGACTCTTCTCGGTCTTAGTCCAACATCTGTTTGTACGTCACCATAAAAGGCCCGCGGACGCATCAGGAGCCATAAGCTCAGAACAGCTGGGTCCCTGACGAGTGGCCCTTGAAAGCGGAGGGACTGCTGTGGCCAAAAGTGATCCAGAGAAGTTTCACAAAGAGATGGGCTGTGGGCCACTGAAGGAGGGGCTATCAAATGTATGGTGTGAAAGGAATCGGGGGTGGGGGAGGACATCACGTCCAGACGGGAATTCTGCTGGGGTTTCGCTGCTTAATGCATGAACCTGATGGAGCTCATGCGGCACACGTAACCCCACCCCCTCCGTCTGGTGAGATCCTGCCTGCCGGCCACGTGGACTTCCACCGCCTGATGGGAGGCTCTAACCTCGGCTACTACTCCAAGGACTTCATAAATAGCATCGTGATCCTCTCTTGCTGACACCAGAACCATCTGCTCCCACCCAACAGCCGTCTGTGACTCCCTATTCCCAGCACACTCACGATCTGGCCCTGGCATCCCCAGCCTCTCCTCTCTGGGTCTCTGGGGCTGGCCGGCCTCCAGCCACTCTTCCTGCACACTCACCCCCAACCTACCCCTCCTAACCAGCTGTGATTCCCCACCAAGCTCGTCCTTGAACTGCTTCTCTACCCATTACCTTGAAAATCCCCTTCCCCAATGAGTTATTATGCTTTCCAATATACAGTTTAAATATCACCTCCTTTATTCAACCTGCTCTAAATACCCCATCCCTTCCTCCCTCCTTCATACTCCTCCTTGAGCCCTTTAGTTCTTGGGCTGCATTTTAATTCTGTAGCACTGCCCTGCCCTGGACCTAAGAGCTGGTGGGCTCCCTTGTCTCCCATAGACAGGACATCACCACCACTTGCTGCTAAGGCTAGAAACTACAATTCCCAGAATCCTTTTCCCTCTGGGGTCCCAGGATGCTTTGCCAATGGGAAATGTAGAAGATGAAACAAAACCCATGTAATTTTTAAGAAACACAGGGCTACTTTGCAGACACTCTCTAAGTGGCCCCCCTTGGAGGCTGGGGCTCAGATGTGGCAGCTTCTTGGACTTGCCATGGACACTGGCTTCTCCTCCAGTGCCTCAGACCGCAGCCTCCCAGATCTTAGCTCTCCCAGCACCTCCCTCAACACTCTTACTAGCTCCAATTCCTACACCAAACCCCTTTCTTCCTACACGGTCTATGGTGGTTTGATGCTGAGGTGCACCTTGTTGAGTTTTCAGCACGGTAGCATCCGGACCTTAGTAGGACACCCTTGAGAAGATACTGGGGAGGGATGAGGGCAAGGCGCCAGCAGCCTGGCTTCTCCAGCATACTGTGTTCACGCTCTTCCTCCAATCTCTGCCACACCCTCCAGTTCTGGGAAAGGCACAGAACCTGTGAGGAATCCCGCATCTAAAACTGGCTGAGACGGTACTAAAGGAACACACAGGGAGACAGAGATGGGCTTTTAATTATAGAGACACTGGGTAGCAAAAGATGCATGAAATCTAATTTCCCATTTAAAAAAAAAAAAAATTCCACTTGAGAGAATGAAAAGAAAGGAACCAAGAGGGAAGGATGAAAAGCAGGTGGGAGAAACTTTCAAAACAGCACCGCGCTGAAAACACTTACTGAGTAATTACTAGCCAAGAATAAGGAGCAACGATGCGTGCTTGAAATGTCATTCAGAAGTTTAGAGTCTGCCTGGGAAGTCAGTCCCAAGGACACAGAGTGAGCAGAGTCCTGGCAGGCTCGAGGGAGCTTGGGAGCCTGGCCAGCAGGCATCGTGAAGTCCTCTAGAAGCCTCGGGCAACCACTCGGAGGGAAAGAAGATGAGCCCCTCCTGTACACCTCATCAGGAGCATAAACACAGATCAGCAGAAAGGACATGACTGAGGAACTCTCCTGAGAGTTGAGCATCTGGTCTCTGGTGACCTCCGTGCCCTCACACCTCTCTGCGCTGTCCAACCAGCAGAGAAGAAAGAACAGTTTTCTTTGTTCTTCCTCCCGTGTCCTCTGCCCAGCCCATTCACATCTGATTCCAGGAATAACAGCTCGGGGCTGGGAATCAGGACAAGTGTATCGTCCCTCACCTGAGCCCAAATTCATGAACTTGTCCTTTCAGAGTCAGGAAAAGGTGACGAGAGACTGTTCCAGGAAGCACCAGGTAAACTCCACAACCCTTGCACACCCATGGCACACACCGCTGCCGCTCATACACAGGTGGCCGTGGGCACGGGGCAGGGGAGGCCCCAGCCTGCAGCCTGGGAGCCGGGACGGCTCTGGGAGCTGCGAGGAGCAACGCCTAGTCCCGACGAGCTCACTTACCGGGAATGGGAGACAAAGTCATACACGGGAATCTGCACTGTCTTCCCTTCGGTGATTTCTTTGAGTGTTTTGAAGATGAGTTCATTGTCAAAGGCATCTGAAGGAAATCAGACTGTTTAAATGTTGCTGAATTTTAAAATGACTTCTCCTATAATCATCCACTTCTATTTCGTGGACGTATACCATACCCTAGAGGAGCACATACACTCCCACTGAAAAAAGCCAGATCTCTACCTGAAACAGAAGGCAAACTCCCTGGATCTCAAAACAGAATGTATGAATGCGTTCTGAGGGACTCACTTCTTTTTTCTACCTTTCTGTTCCCTGCCCCCCGACCCCAGCCACCTCTCTCCTCCAAGTTCAGCTGCTGTCTTGGCAGCTGGCATATGTTAACCTAGAAAAGTATACACACAACTAGGGGAGTGTAAGGGGCATCAGGTTTTGATTCCAACAGTTACAAGAACCAAAACCAGGGGCACCTGAGTGGCTCAGTTGGTTAAGCATCTGCCTTCGACTCAGGTCATGATCTCAGGGTCCAAGATCATGATCTCAGGGCATTGGGCTCCCTGCTCCACAGGGAGTCTGCTTCTCCCTCTGCCTGCTGCCTCCCGCTGCTTGTGTTCTCTTTTTCTCTGACAAATAAAATCTTAAAAAAAAAAAAAAAAAAAAAAAAAAGAACCAAAACCAGCTGAAGGGCAATGTACTGGTCTGGGACTGTCAAGGAGAAAGTCACACAAGCAGACATCCCGGGCTCTGCCAGTTGGTGAGTTTCACAGTCTGCCAACGGCATGCATGTGTGGGATGGGGTGGGGGAGTGGGGGGGGGCACAAGCTGCTTCAGATCAGAGGAGGCAGAAGAACCAGCTTGCTTGTGCCAGTCTCAAGTAACAGGCTCACACAGAGTCACCCTCGTTCAGATGCAAGCCCTAGTCACGACACCATGCAACTGTGTAATGCATTTCAAAACTCCTTCTTCAGGCCCCACCATAACCCCATAAGGTCATTTCTTCATCCCCGTGTTATCCAAAGAAACAGATTCCAAGGGGTCAAACAACGTCCTCAGTGAACCAGCAAGTGCACGAAAAGACACAGACAGACACACAGACACACACACACACACATATACACTCTCCGTCAACCGCTGACTCACCCGGGTGATCAAAATTGAACTGGCCCTTCAGGGCTTTGGCCTTCTGCTCCGACGTGAGGACGCGGTAGAAGCTATCCTGGCTAAGGATGACCACCTGCTTCTGGCGACAGTCCACCTCATTCTGTCCCAGGAGCTGCACGATCTTAGCGCAGACGGAAGACTGCAGGAGAGAAGAGGAGGGTGAGGATTAAAGGGGCTCACGGTTGCTCCCGGATGCGCACGCCCTCCGCCAGAGGCTTCTGGAGGAAAGAATCCGTAGGCTACCATCTTGTCGGATGGATCAGAAAGTGTTAAAGGAGAAAGTCGGTCTGCTGAGAGGGGGGATCCCAGAGTCTCTTTTCCCCCCTTCCTTAACACAGCTTCCTACTCGCAGGTATCTGCGGGGGCCGCGGCAGGGAGCAGGGCAGTAATGCCTACCTCCTCTTCCATGCAGTCCCTTCTAAAGCTGCTACTGCAAAGCAACAGGAATGTATTCATCCCGGCTTGTGCCCTGGTCAAGAACTCGGGGAACAGCAGAAAGTGGAAAGAATGCACCTTGGTGATGTGCTGATGGCCCAGAGGGCCCCTGAGCCACGAAGGAACTGAGCCCATGTGAAATCCAAAGCCAGGGCCAGAGGACTCGGCCAGTGAGCAGTTAAGGTCAAGGTCACGGCTTGCATCCTGCTTGCGCGGCTTCTGCTCTAGTGCCTGGCCGTGGTCTTGTCCGTACTCACACTCACAGTAAACCAAATATATACCACCACTTACGGGCTGGGGTGAAATGGGATAAAACACAACCAACACCTAAACCAACATGGGGTTTCCCTGCCGAGAAGAGGTCAGTCTGTTCCGGATGAACTCAAACCTACACGCTCTGGGTCCGGCTGCCAGCAACACACATGCACCGGTGATGTTGTGAAAATGGGAAATGCATATTTAGTCCTCCCGGCTTTTCTGGCAGAGTTCTTAAAACCCCTGAATTTCCTAAGTAGGGAGAGCGGTGCACCGGTCTTTGTTATGTTAAAGAGGAGGCTTCTGGAAAGCACCTAAGGATGGGAGCTGGTTGCCAGGGGAACCAACCACTGCTGAGCGGGTTAGAACTTTCAACCCTCCCACCCTGACCTCCAGGAAGGGGAGGAGCTGGAGGCTGAATCCCAGGGCAACACCAACGATATAATCAAAAGCGGGATGTCATGAAGCCTCCACACAGACCCAAGACGATGAAGTCTGGTGAGCTTCCTGGCTGGCGACCACATGGAGTGTGGGGAGAGCGGCCGGCTCTGAGAGTGGCGACACCCCACTCCTCAGAACCTGCGCTACATGGCATCTCTCCCACCGGGCTGGTCCTGCCTTATACTCTTTTACGATCAACCCGTAACCTTTTAAATAAAATGTCCACGTTGTGTGTGCTGCTCGAGCAAATTAATCAAACCCAAGGAAGGGACAGCTGGAACCTTCAACCTATGTCCAATCAGCCAGCCGGACAGGTGACAACAGGTGCTTTCGGGGGACACCGGGTGTCAGGGCAGAAGGGATGCGGGGCAGTCTCTCAGGACTGAGCCCTACCCGTGGGAATTAATGCGATCTCTAGGTAGTGTCAGAATTATTAGGGTGAATTCTCGGATACCCTGCTCACGCGGGAGAATTACTTATTGATGTGGGGAAGCCTCCCCGCCACCGCCCCACACACTAGAATTGGAACTGGGTACAGAACCTAAAATCTACCTCTTTCTCCTCTCCCATAGCACATACTCCTCATAAAAAGCGTAAAAAAAGATATGCTCTTAAAAGAATGATAGTGAAGGACCGTATTTACCAAATAACTCATTTTTTTCCATCGTATACAGATTAGTTTAAAAATAAGAATGTCTACATTACAAGACCCCTACAAGCCATAGCCAGCCTTGCGGAGCTGGCTGACCTAATTACAAGGGATGATAAAAGTGGTGCAGTTAGAGGTTTCTTGGACTCAGTCTTGGGAGCTTGCTTCACTATCGAACTTACTTTACCAACTGGTTTTAACAAGGAAAAACCAGGACACTTGGCAAAGTTACATTTCTCATAAGCTCTGGATTTGATCTGTCCAAGCCTAAGGAAAACTGGCTTCCTGTTGCCCCAGTCAATCCCCATGAGACTACCTGCACAATAGTTCCTGTTGCACAAACTGAGACACAAAACCAAGTAAGGATCTTTGGAGGAACAATATTTTGACTCAATTGTTAAATTGTCTGAAAACTCTAGGGGCACCTGGGTGGCTCAGTTGGTCAAGCCTCTGCCTCTAGCTCAGGTCATGATCCCAGGGTCCTGGAACAGAGCCCTGCATCGGGTTCCCTGCTCAGCAGAGAACCTGCTTCTCCCTCTGCCTGCTGCTCCCCCTGCTTGTGCTCTCTCTCGATCTCTGTGCCAAATAAATAAATAAAATCTTCAAGGAAAACAGAAAACTGTTTTACTTTTCTGACATTTTCACGTATTAACAGAAAAGCATTTAAAACAGGATTTTTGGAACAGCAGTTAGGCCAGGAAAAAAAGTCACAGAAGATAAAACTTGTACATGACTTATGCTAGATTCAAAAATGAAAATACCCAAAAGAATCAAAGCCTCTATATGATTATAAACTATACATTTTTAAACAGGTGCAAGCCCATTATTTCATTTTCCTAACTTCTATCTGGTTCCACATCCTAAGGCTATGCAGGGCAAAGTCTACACCAGTACCTTTTATGAGCAGATAGAAATACATCTAGAAGTCCAAAGAAAGAACAAAAATGAAGAGGGCTTCATGGAGCCAAAGGTATTTAATTTACTTGATTACTGAAATCATGATATTTTTTATTTCTAGTTAAAACCCATTAATTTTTTTTTTAATATGAAGACCCATCTCTACCAAATAAAGTAGTTATATTACCTAATTTTGCAGGTAAACAATCATTTCCCTTAACCCAGGTACAACTCAGGACAAATGGACACAATGGCCAATAAAATCGGGTTACTGAGCACATCTTGAAAGCCAGTGTTCATCACAATTTCTTACCAAAGGTAAATCTGGCTGTTTTTCTGGTCCACAGCTGTGTGTCTTGGCTCCACGTTTTCGGGGCCTGTTTGGTGATACTAATTTCTTTCTTTTTTTTTTTTTTTTTGTTTTGTTTTAAAGATTTTATTTATTTGAAAGACAGAGATCACAAGAAGGCAGAGGCAGGCAAAGAGAAAGGAAAGGAAGCAGGCTCCCCGCTGAGCAGAGAGCCCGATGTAGGGCTCTGGGGCTCCATCCCAGGATGCCAGGATCATGACCTGAGCTGAAGGCAGAGGCTTTAACCCACTGAGCCACACAGGCGCCCCGATCTTACTTTCTACAACCACACCACCCTCACCTATTACCGATTTAGTAAGTCAGGGCGTAGGCCACGTGCTCCATGATAACCACCCTCCTAAGTTGCAAGTGCGGTCCTTCCCAGATGTGGAAACCAGGTGGAAACCAGGTGGAATGACTCGCCTGCAATCCTGTTTCCTTTCATCCTCAACCTAAGCAGTAGTTAGAACTCCCAAGGCAGAAGCCCTTTATCATGGAGATAAACACCACCACGTGAACAAGCAAAGAAAACACCTGTCTCCAGGTCAGTCTAGGTTTTTCTAGTCTTTTCTTCCTCCAGGAACTTGTCAAAGTGGCCTCTAAAAAAATCTAGATAGCTGTTGAACTGGGGGCAAGAGGTACACAAGTGTCCATTATGCCATTCCTCTCCTTGAAGAGAGGTTTGAATTTTCACACAATTGGAGAAAGGAGCCCTACAGAGACTCCGCTGTCCCACGAATGAATGGTCTTTGCCCTATTTCATGTCCTCTTCTTAGGGCTCCTTCATTTTAATTTCCCTTTCTCCGAATCCCGCCCTCTTCAGAAGGATGATATGGGACTCCCAAGGTATCTTGTTTTCTCAAGAAAGGAAATAATTCGACAATGACCACGGCTAGAGAAGGCAGGCAGTCTCAAGCTTACAGAAGACGCTAAGAGTGGGCAAGGGTGCGATCGGGAGTCGGGGGCTAAGATTTAAAATAATTATGTCACAGGAAGACAAACACTGTAGGACTCCACTTAAAGGAGGTCTCCAGACTAGTCAGATTCACAGAAACAAATCAGAGTAGAAGTACCAGGGCTGGGGGAGGGGGGAAAGTGAGGAGTGGTTCAGTGGATACAGTTTCACTTTTACATGAGGAAGTTCTGGAGAATGGTCGCCCAACGATGTGACTGTACTTGATACTACAGAAATGTACACCTAAACATGGCTAAGGTCATGAATGTTATCAAAAGTGTTTATTACCACAATTAAAAGCAAGCATTATTATTGTAACAAAAGCAAAATGGGCAGTTTCTTCCTAGTTGGTACTAGGCTCGGTATTTTAAAATGATCTCACGTATTTACGAGAACCCTATGTGATAGAAATGATTATCATACCCATTCCACTGACATGAAGACTGAGGTGAAGACAGGTTAAATGACTTGCGCAGGGCACGGGCGGCAGAGCCAGGACTCAACCCAAGGGGTCCACACCCCAGAGCTCACCCCCTTACTGGCTGCACCTCACAGGCAAACTAGCTTTCGCCCACTGGAGCTGGAGTGGGGCTTAGTTTCACATGGCATCTCCGTATTCAGTGCAACGCATCCAAATACATTCTGCTCCTGCCACTTCCGGCACATTTTTCTAGAGGGGGAGAGGGGTGGAAAATAAGCCATCTAGGACTGTGGGTTGCTGTCTAAATACAAAGTGAAGGCCAGGTCAACATGAGGTTATCTTTAGAAAGGGGACACACACACACACACACACACACACACACGGAATAACCAGTAAAGGAGATATACAATTTCTTCACCTGCATGGCACTGGAAGACACCAATTCCTTTAACTCCATTACAACAAGATGTTACTATTTTCTCTCTTTTTTACAGAATGAGGAACCTGAAGCTTGGAGCCCATCAGTTAAATGCCTTGTTCAAGGTCCCACAGCTGAATCTCAAACGTAATACCTCTTCTAGCTTCAAATGCCCCAAAATGCCCCAGTTCTCTCCAGTATTCCAGAACTGGAGCCCTGATGTTCTCCATAAATAGACTCTACTTCCAGAGATCAGTGATGGGGAAAAGGAGACGCGGAGGGAACTGGTTAGACATAGAACAAGGTTTGGCCCTGCTGC